AACTCAGGATATCTCTGTTTCCTCTCTAAAGAAATTAGGGGTCTTTTTAGGATTGGTGATATTTTCTACATAATACTATTTCAATTTCTTTGCTGCATGGACATCTCTGTGGAAATGACAAGAAGAGATGCAGTGCTCGCTTCAGCAGCACATGTGCTAAAGCTGGAACAATACAGAGAACATTAGCATGACCCCTGTGCAAGGATGACAGGCAAATTCATGAAGCGTTCCATAACAAAAAAAATAAAAAAGCAGAAGAGATTCAAACTGACTAGTCCAGAATTTTATATTACATTAAATATTTCTAGAGAAATGTACCAGCATATGGATACTTCTATAACTTTGAAATGTTTTTTCTTTAGGAAATGGTTCCTTAATTTCTCCTTAAATTGAGCACTGAAGGAATTTTACTGAAAGTCACATAATACAGGAGTGAAATACCAAAAACTAGAACCTATCCAGTATCTAAACTCCCTTTCAAAGCAGATCACAGTGATCCAAGAATGTCTTTTTTTTTTTTTTAAGATTTTATTTATTTATTTGACAGAGATCACAAGTAGGCAGAGAGGCAGGCAGAGAGAGAGGAAGGGAAGCAGGCTCCCTGCCAAGCAGAGAGCCCGACGCGGGGCTCGATCCCAGGACCCTGGGATCATGACCCGAGCTGAAGGCAGAGGTTTTAACCCACTGAGCCACCCAGGCACCCCGTGATCCAAGAATGTCTTAAAAGGAGGTAGCCTGCCCATCTATTGAGTATCTAGCTTTCCACAGCACCTGAGGCACTGTTGAGCAGCATATATAATATACAAAATGTGAGTTATTTTTTTAATTATTTTAAGAGTTATTTATTTTAGAGAGAGAGGCTGCATTTGAGTGCAAGCAGTAGGGTGGGGGAGGCAAAGGGAGAGGGAGAGAATCTCAAGCAGACACCCTGCTGAGCACAGAGCATGATAATTGAGTTCAATCTCAGGACCCAGAAATCATGACCTGAGCCAAAATCAAGAGTTGAATGCTCAACTGACTGAACCACCCGTGTGCCCCAAGAATTATTTTTTGAAAATACAGCATATGTAAAAAGGACTTGGGAGTGTTTAAAAAGTAACATAATAAGAGTATCTTAATCAAATACAAACTATAAGTAATTGCTAAGAGGAAGTGGAAAATGAAGTGATTTAAAACTAGATTGATAATGGATAGAAGTTTACTGGAATAGGCATATTTTCTGACAATTTTTTAAAGTAGTGATGGATTTTGCCAGAGAGAAAAGAACCATTCATTCGTCAAAGATTTATTGAGTGTTCACTATGTGCCATGTGCTAGACGCTGTTCAAGGCACTAGAGATAAGTCAATACACAAAAACTATTGCAGAGCAGGAATAGATATTTCATTGCCCAGGAGGCTTTGATAATTTGATAGGAACAGAAAACACAAATATGACAGTAGAGAGAAATGAAAGAGAAAGGAAAAGAACTGGTAATGGGCTTGTAGTAGAAGACCTTCTAAATGGGAGTAAGATGTTTGGTCTGAATTGAACTCCTTTGGTCACTGCAGTCAGAATAGACTGCCTTTTTTTCCACCGACTGTCAGTCAGCTCACCTAGCCTTTTAGATAACTTTGTAATAACGAGGATAACACAAAATATATGCTGCACATATAAAGATTCCCAACTGAAGTATGTGGAAGGCAAAAAGGGAAAGAATGGGTGGCAAAAGTTGAATTTTATGTCTCCTTTTATCTTTCCAATGGCTATTATATATTATCAGTCCCTTTCTAGCAAGTTTTGTGATTCAATCCCTGAAGGTTCTGCTCTTCTTCTTTCCTTCAAGGTAGAATCACTGAAAGGAAAGGAGATTCTATTTAAATTCCCTTTTTCTAGTAAATCAGGAGTTCCTTATTCACCTAGCAATACTTCTCTATAGAGTGTGTGAAGAGAAGTATTTTGTGTTTTGTGTAGGATGGTGGGAAAAGGATACGACAAGATGAGGGCTAGGGAGAATACCAAGAGGCTGTAATGCAATGCAATATAACAGCCTAGAATACAAACTTGACGATTAAGAGCGTGGGTTAAATGGGCAGTTTTAAAAATGAAAAGAGACATATCTGAAGCACACAATAAAGAACAACTATAACAAGTTTAACCCCTGTTTACCTATGGGAGGATAAGAAAATAAGGAAATGAATGTAAGATTTTAAGTTTGAAGGTCTGAAAATTTGTGTTGTCAGTAAGAATAGCCAAGAAATTTGAAAGAAATAGCTTGAAGGAAAAAAATGAACTTAATGTCAGATCTAAATGAGATGTCACCAGAATATAGAGGACTTAGACTTTCTTGATAAGCTACTGGACCTATTGATGTACATGTGTAAGTTGGCACCATATAGAAACTGATTGAAACTCTATGGATTAATGAGAAAATACAATGAAGAAGATCAAATGGCTATGTATGAACTTTGTAAGGTGAGGTATCAATTTCAAAGAAGGTAATCTAGCTTTGGAACTCTTCCCTTCAGGTCAGACAAAGCTGTCTTTTATTAAACATCATCTCTTCATTTTGACTGACCCCTTAGTAAGTGAGAATAACAAAACAAATAAATAAAATTGAAAGACTAATTTTTTTGGATTATCTCACTGGAAGTTCTGATTTTTTTTGTTAAAGATTTATTATCTGAGAGAGAGGGCACACACACAAGAGAGTGGGGGTGGGAATGAATGGCAGGGGTGGGGAGGCAGAGGGAGAGGGAGAGAGAAAATTTAAAGCAGACTCCCAGCTGAGTGGGGAGCCTGATGCGGGGCTCCATCTCAGGACTCCAAGATCATGACCTAAAACAAAATCAAGAGTCAACACTTAACCAATTGATCCACCCAAGCACCCCTGGAAGTTTTGATTTTTAACTGAATGTCCTCCTAGCCAATTCATATGAATTATGTGCCTTAAGATACAACAAGCAAAACAAATATCTGCAACTTTTCTTTGACTGTATACTTTCCTATGAAGGCTATGGCTTAAGAAATATAGAATTTTTTCTATAATTTAATTTATAAAATTAATATTATTATAAATTATACAGTTTTATTATAATTATTATATTTTATTATTATATATTAATATATATTATATAATTATATTATATTATAATTATTATCATAAATTATGATTATATTATAAATTATAAAAATAATAAAATTTACATCAGCGTAAGTCATTCAAGCTAGTTAGCTGTTAAATATGGAATTTGTTTTATATAAAACTGTCAGAGTGAACATGAATTTCCACTCCCAAAGCAAATCTCAGTTATGGAACCACATAAATAGAAATTTACCTTTAAAGAAGATTCAATTATAAAATGCACTAGGCTACATATTTCTTTGAATAGGAAAGGATCAAGCTTGATACTCCCTGAACTAACAGTTTTTAGAATCTATTTGATATTTTCTGTACACAGATCACACGAAAATAATTTCAGCATTTCATGATTATCTAAACTGGCTTTAGATTTCTCTATTTATGTAGAAGTACCTTCATAGTAGCTAGCAGTGGAACATTTAGTAGAGCACTTTCTATATGTTTTACACTATGTTAAGTGCTCCAATATTTACTATCTCATTTAATTAACATTCACAACTCAATTAAATATTACTAACCCATTTCACAGATAGGCAAAACTGAACCCCAAGTTATATCTGCAACGTAACATAGCTGGTAAGTGGGCAGAGCTAGGATTTGAGTTCAGATGTGTCTTGATTCCAATGTCACTTTTCTTAATACCCTTTGCCCCCAAAATTCACCTAAAAACATTTTTATTATAAAAGTTTTATGTCTGTTGAATTCATTCAGTATAATGGAATACTTTTTTTTTTCCTTTTTTTTTTTTTTTTTTGGCAATTTGGAAATGTTCCTGTGTTCTTGTTTACTCTCATGACTTTAACCAAGAAAATCTTCTTGGGTGCCACTTTGACCACATACCAAACCATATCTCCCAGATTAGTAACCATAATCTAACACACACACACACACTCACAGGAAAGGAAGATTTCATGGAAAAGTTAAAAAAAAAAAATCCTCCTGTTCAATTTTAGGGATATAGGAACACATCTATTTAATTCTACTTATAGAAGTACATAGATAGATTACTGGCTTTAATATTGGCCTGAAAAAATCCTCCAAAGTCACAGATTCAGTTTCTTAGTTTCAACAGACACAGCTATACTATGAATACTGAAAAGAGAATTGTCAAGACAAAGCAACAAATAATTTTTGAGTTCTTACTTGCTCATCAGTGTAAAACATATTCTAATCTATAGTCATCAAACGTGCCAGACAGCTCTATTAAGTGGTAAAAGGCATATGGAAGAAGTGGACCACATAGTCTGAGATCTTAGTTATCTGTAGTATTATACCATCAGTCCTGCTATTGAACCACTGAATGGAAGCAATCTAGTATAGAAGAGTGTATATTTTGGAGTAGAACAAATCTGAGTTTAAATCTTGACATTACTTATAAATTCTGTGATCCAGAAAAAGTTACTGCCTTTGTGGGTCATAATTCTTTCATTTTGTAACCTGGAACTAAAACTCTGTAGCCAAATGGACGTCATAAAGATCTATCAAAAGAAGAGACTTCCCAGGTTCAAATCTCAACTCTGTTGTGCAGAAATTGTGACTTAATACCTCCTTTTCCTCATCTGTAAAATGAGGGTAATAAAAGTCCCCATACCTCAAAGAGTTGCAAGGATTTAACACCTTAAAATATTTAAAGTACATGTAACAGAGCTTGGCACATAGGAAATGATATATTTACATATACTGTAATTCTTACTTAAAGTACCTACCTAGTTCTTGCCCCTTGGTATATTTCTAATAAATGTTAATTCCTTTTTATATTTCAACTGAAATTATTTTCCTTTCTTTTCTAAGATTTTATTTTCAGTAATCTCTATACCCAATGTGGGGCTCAAACTTACAACCCCAAAATCAAGAGTCATATGCTCTACTGATTGAGCCAGCCAGGCACCCCTCCTTTATTTTCTAGATACATTTTTCAGTGTATTAAGCTAAAATAACTGATATTCAACAAACCGCATATATATAAGGTGTATAATTGATAACTTTAAACATGTATAGAATTGATTGAGTATACAATTGATAAATGTTAACATGTATATACCTGTCAAACCATCACCAGAATAAGAAGTGAATATATCTATCAACCCTAAGAATTTCCCCTGCCATTTTATAATCCTCCCCTGGCACTTCTCTCTCCAGACAACCAATGGTTTGTCAGCCCTTTGTCCCAATAGATCTGTTTGCATTTTCTAGAATTTTATATTTTCTTTCTTCACTCACAATATTGTTTTGAAATTAATCATGCTGGTGCACAGAATAATAGTTCATTACCTTTTTATTGCTGAGTAGTATTCCATTATATGAATATATCACAATTTATCCATTTATCTGTTGGTGACGTTTGAGTTGTTTCAAATTGGAGACTGTTAAATATAAAGCTACTATGAATATTCCTGTACAGATCTCTGTAGAAACATGCTGTCTTTTCTTGTGGAATTACCTACAATGAAATGGATCATATATTGGTGTAAGTTTAACTTTTCAAGAAACTGCAAAACTGTTTCCAAACTGATTGTATTATTTTAGATTCCTATTAGGAGTGTATAAAGTTCTAATTTCTCCAAATCCTTAACAACACTTTTCATTTTAGATGTTCTAATAGATGTGTATACTTTTTTTTTTTTTTTTTTTTTTTTTGGTATATGGATATCCACTTGTTCCATCATGGTTTTACAGTATGTTTTCCTAAAGACTAATGAGGTTAATAAAGTTGAACAGCTTTTCATATGTTTATTGGCTATATGGGTTATCTTCCTATTGAAATTACTATTCAAGTCTTTTGCCTATTTTTTGAGACTTTTGTTTTCTCATTGTTGAGTTCTGAGAGTTTGTTACATTCTTTTATTTTTTAATCTTTATTTATTTTTTACATGATCTCTATACCCAATGTGAGGCTTGAACTCATGACCCCCAAGATCAAGTGTCACATGCTCTAGCAACTCAGAGAACAAGGCACCGTGAGAGTATGTTACATTCTTGATAGAAATCCTTTATTACATGTTTCTGTCAGGCTGGAGCTTGTCTTCTTTAGCAGTGTATTTTAAAAAACAGCAGTTTGTAAAATTTTGATTAAGTCCAATTTCTCAATTTGTTCATTTATGGATTGTACTTTTGATGTCACATCTAAGAAATCTTTGTCTTAATTCAGAGTCACAAAAATTTTCTTACATTTTCTCTAGAAGTTTAATAGTAATGTCAGGTTTTACATTTAGGTCTGTGATCAATTTTGAGTACATTTTTGTACATTGATTTATGAATCAAATTCCTATTTTTATAGGTGGATATCTAGTTCTTCCAAGTACAATGTATTTAAAAAAAAAACAAAATTATTCTTTCTTCACTGAATTATCTTTGTACTTTGTCAAAAATCTGTTATCATTATATATGTGGGTCTATGTCCAGACTCTATATTCTGTTCCATCAATCTATTTGTCTGTTCTTTTTTATATATACATTTTTTAAGATTTTGTTTATTTATTTGAGAGAGAGTGAGAGAAAGAGCACAAGAGCAGGGTGAGGGGCAGGAGAAGCAGGCTCCCCACTGAGCAAGAAGCCCGACGTGTGGCTCAATCCCAGGACTCCGGGATTATGATCATGACCTGAGCAGAAGACAGACGCTTAACAGACTGAGCCACCCAAGTGCCCCTATTTGTCTATTCTTAATTAATACCACTCTGTTTTGATTACCGTAGATATTTAATAAGTCTTGAAATCAGATAATATCAGCCCTCCAACTTTGTTCTTCTTGTCAAAGTTAATTATTCTGGCTATTACAGGTCTTCACATTTCTATATGAATTTTAGAATCAGCTTATCTTTCTTTTTCTTTTTTTTTTTAACTTACTGGGATTTTGGTTTGTGTTGAACCTATAAATCAACTTAAGGAAAGCTGGCATGTTAATAATATGAATGCATTGAGCCAGGTAAATCTCTCGGTTATTTAAGTTGTCTGTCTTTACTTCCTCTCAACACTATGCTGTTTATAGTGTACAGATCTTTCATGCCTTTTATCAGATTTATTCCTAAATATTTCATATTTTTTATGCTATTGTAAGTGCTGCATTTTCAGTTGTTTGTTGCTAGAACGTAGAAATATAGATGATTATTGTATATTGATCTTGTATCCTGCAGTTTTGCTAAATTCACCTGTTAGTTCTAGTAGCTTTTTGTAGATTCCACCAAGTGGAACAGATGGATAATTATGTCAGTTTTATTTCTTCCTTTCCAATCTGAATGTATTTTTTTTCTTTTCTTGCCTGACTACACTGGCAGAACCTCCAATGTTGAATAAAAGCAGTAAGAGCATGGGCACCTGGGTGACTCAATTTTTCTGTCCAAGTCTTGATTTCAACTCAGGTCATGATCTCAGAGTTACGGGATCCAGCCTAGTGTTGAGCTCTGTGCTCAGCATGAAGTCTGCTTGGGATCCTCCCTCTCCCTGTGCCCCTCATCCCACTCACACTCTAGATGA